TAGAAATATGTCTATTAACTAGCCGTAAGACAATGGTGAAAAGCTTGCTTAAGTGTGCTCAGTTTGTGTTTATGTAATGATAATGATATCAAGTTACAGTCAATACAGTCCTGTCTGACAACATCTCCCAACATGAATTTATTTTGTGAGACACAAGGAACTGCTGCATCTAACCTTTAATAGTGAGTTTCCAGGGTGTCTAAATAGTAAGGCCAAGAGTCATCCATCAGTAGAAGAGTTTTTCAATTTGCACCCTCGCTTGACTCTTGAGATTGAGTGAAAGGTAAGCCTAAAGTCAATAAAGGCCACACTTGGAATACTGCATCCAGTTTTGGTCACCATGATCTAAAAAAGATGTTGAGACTCTAGAAAGAGTACAGAGAAGAGCAACAAAGATGATCAGGGGACTGGAGGCTAAAACATATAAGGAACGGTTGCTGGAATTGGGTATTGGGATGAGGGGTGACATGATAGCAGTGTACCAATATGTCAGGCTGCCACAAAGAAGAGGGAGTCAAGCTATTCTCCAAAACACCTGAAGCAGTGGTGGGATTGAAATATGTGAAAAACTGGTTCTCTATGTGGATGCCGCTTCCAGAAGTCCATTCTGGGCCTGGGCAACAAAAAAATAGCTACTGGTTCTGCCAAAGTAGTACAAACCGGCTGAATCCCACCACTGACCTGAAGGCAGGACAAGAAGCAATGGATGGAAATTAACCAAAGAGAGAAGCAACCTAGAACTAAGGAGAAATTTCCTGACGGTTAGAACAATTAATCAGTGGAACAACCTGCCTCCAGAAGCTGTGAATGCTCCAACACTGGAAGTTTTTAAGAAGAGACTGGACAGCCATTTGTCTGAAACGGTATAGGGTTTCCTGCCTGAACAGGGGTTTGGACTAGATGACCTCCAATGTCCCTTCCAACTTTATTATTATTATTATAAATGCACCATGCAGTGGAGAACAGGGTCTGATATGGTATTTCTCAACTAAGTGCCACAGGATCATAGTTGGTTGCAAGGAGAAACAACCTGCCCTAATATCTGCTTGTCTCTCCAAGATATACTCAGATTTGTACCAGTCTTGTAATTAACCTTCTTGAAGCTTTGCATACATTTTGCTAATTATGCTCAGGAGACTGACAAGGAGATAATCAAAGCTTATCCATCCCTATGGCTGGAAGAAAAGATTATATCTTCAAATAATTCCTCCCCCCTCCATATGGAAAAGGAAAGCAGTTTGGGAAGACAATTAATAAGAGGAAAAACTATTAGCAGTGAGTGTTCAACAGAACACTCCTGTTCAACAGAAAATCAAATATACACACACAAACATAAAGGTATCAGTGAAAAGTCTCTTTACAGTAGGTTTCTTTTTTTGCTACTGGTGGTGGGGGAAGCAGCTGAGAATCAGCCTCACTTCTATTCTATGCATTAATAATATACCCCAAAGCATCTGCCTTTTTCCCATCAATAAAAAGTAATCCTAGCCATATCTCCTTCTTATTTTTGAAGGCATTGTTCTCCGGAGTCTAGTTGTTAATATGGCTTCACATGTTATTATAGTTAATAATACAGATTATATTCCATTCAATTTTGCTTCTAGTTGCAGTCTGCAAATATATATTATCTTTACAGAGCTATACCCTGTATAGTATTCAACAACACTTTAAAAACTTAAAACAGGGTTGGTATTTGGGGGGTGCAAATAATATGTACCTGTTCAACCACCTTGCAGATGCAAGAGACACTGCCAGAAGAGACAGGGTTTAAAAAGATAGGCCTTTTGTTAATAGGCTGAGAGCAGGAGAGTGGGAAGATTAACACCAGTAATGGGAGCTGGTCTCCTTCAAGGGGACTCATACCCACATTATTTTAGTCTTAGGATCTTGACCTGAAAAATCACGTCACAAACATTTGGTTGTTTTGCTGCTAAATTGCTGCTGAATTCTGTAATCTCAACTGGGGGTGTGTGTGTCTCATTTGGCCTAGTACAGGAGTTACACTGAGTTGCTTTGACAGCGAGCTAATAAAATAAATAAATAAATAAATAAAAAACCCAGAGATACTGAGAGCAGGCTTCCACCTAATCCCAAACCTGAAACTCCCAAAGCAAGGTGCCCATTAAGCCATTGGAAAGTTGAGAAAAATAAATACCAGATTTAACGTGCCTTGGCCTATGAGGGCACTGCCCTTCACTTATTGGCTCTAGTCTTCTCTAGCTAAGCTATGTCCAGTGTTTGGGAAATTTCTGCTGAGTTAAGCCTGGAGAGCTTAACACTGTGGCCCATAAGACTGTTCACCTCTGACAGCAGAGGGCAGAGAGAATGGCTTTAAGGACAGGAGAAAGAGCCACTACCAAGGCAGAGGTAGATACAAGGGGGCTTGAGTCCAGGCCAAGCCTCTCCTAATTCACATGAAAATAAAGGGAGAGAGGGGGAAACACTTTCCAACTTGTAAGATTCTATTACCATAACTATACAATCACGATACTATTAACTTACATAGTATTGTTTTCCTAGTCTAGTCTACCTTGAAGGGCTGACACTGACTCAAGAGAAGTAGGAGAAGGGGAATGAAAGAAAAACCTCTTTTCTAATTTATGAATCATTTCCATCCATGCAGTTCCTATTAGCCACAGTAATCCATGAGAGCAAAAACAAAACCCAAACCACATGTATTTTATATTATATGATATTTAACCAAACCTGTTCATCTTATAAAAAAGAAAAACCTCAGACGCAAGGGGAACTCCTGGTAACTTTACTAACACATCATCTAGTGTTCACAGCAAGACTATATAAGAGGCTTGCTATTGCTTTCTTCTGGGATGTTTTTTTCAACATCACAGACTATCTTATCTAATGTTCCCTTAACTAAATAAATGATTTACAGAGACTTGCCGCCAAGATAATTCTCTATGCCAATCCTGAGATAATAATATTTAATGATTGTTTTTATATATTTTATTTTACTGCCCTGAGTTACTCCTTGTGAAATGGTGGGAGGGGCATAACAGTTTGGTAAATAAATAAGTATCCTATAAGTGTTAATGAACAGTTGAGATTTTTTTTGAAGATACCAAAATTATGCTATAACTTTAGATTATAAAAGGAGGTCAGGTAATCTGAGTAAGACCTGGATTTATTATAATGTCAGAATTTTACCCATTTTATTCATAAAACCTGGAAATCTGGTTTTGTGGAGTTTATACAAAAGGACAAAAGATTGCAAAATTCAAAGATGTATATTTAACCCAGAGATGTTTAAACTGTTGTGTTGCAACAATTTCCCTTTAGGATTCTACAGGTTGCAAAATAATTCAAAGATTATGGACTGTTTTTAAGAAACAGAACTTTGTTTCTGAGGTTTCCTGGATCCTGGGCTGGGCTAGCAGACCGCTTGAACAAACCATAGCTAGCCAAGCATTCCAATCTATACAGCCAATTAATGGTTCTGGATGTGATAGTGAACTTCAGATTGGGCTAATTGGTTAAACAGTGATAGAATAGGATGGGAAAATGCATTACTTGTGCTCTCAAAGCCAAACCCAAGATTCTATCATTCATCTTTCTATATCAGACATGTCAAATACAAGGCCCGGGGGCTGGATGCGGCCCGCAAAGTGGTTTCATGTGGCCTGCGAAGCCATCCTGGAAACAGTGAGGGAACAGCCCCTGCTGTCTTGGCCCTGGCCGTGGCCCAGGCCGGCCAGGAGCCAATGTACAATTGTGTGGTGGCCATCTATGCTGAAACGCATTCAGTCTTAGCTCCACAAGGTCATCTGGAAACAGCGAGGAACCAGCCCCTGCCATGTCGGCCCCACCCCCTGGGTGCATGCTGGGGAGGAGTCACTCTTTGTGAGGAATGAAGAAATGCACCATTGCCTGGAAGTGGCCAGCAAATGGCTCTTGTCTACTTCACATATCCGGCTTGATGGGCTCCAGGGGAAGGGTTTCGACAGGCAGCGGGGTGCTCTCCTCACAGCGCCGAGAGGCTGAGCCGGGCGGTGCAAATTCCAAAAGAAGCACAACGCCACCCAGCCCCCAGCCTGCCCAGTTTCGGCAGGGAACGGGGCGCTCTCCTCACAGTGCCAAGAGCTGAGCCAGGTGGAGCAAAACTGATGAGAAGTGCAATGCTGCCTAACCCCAGCCTGCCCAGTTTCAGCAGGCAACAAGGTGCAAAGCTGGCGAGCCTCGCACCGCCCGGCTCAACCTCTCGGTGTTGTGAGGAGAGCGTCCCACTGCCTGCCAAAACTGGGCAGGCTGGGGGCTGGGCAGAATTGCACTTCCTTTTGGATTCGCGCCGCCTGGTTCAGCCTCTCGGTGCTGTGAGGAGAGTACCCCACTGCCTGCTGAGACCGCATGGTGTCGCGCATAGCCTAAGAGGAACGGTGAGGCTCCTCCAGTGGATCATGCCTCGGCACTTGACCTGGTCCTACCCCCATCTGCCAAAGACCCTCAGATCTGTCCCACTCCTGGCCCCCATAGGCACCCTTGATGCAAACGATGTAGAGCTGGCCATGCCCACCCTATAGGCCACACCCACTCCATCCACGCCCACCCAGTAGGCCACATACACCCAGTCCCCTGAGGGCAACTGCAATGCTGATGCGGCCCTCAATGAAATTGAGTTTGACACCCCTGTTTTATATTGTCCCTTTCAGAGCTCAGCTGAGAGAGAGAGAGGGGGGGGGGGAGAGAGAGAGAGAGAGAGAGAGAGAGAGAGAGAGAGAGAGAGAGAGAGAGAGAGAGATTTTTAATGATATTATTGAGCAGGATTAAAAAATAAAGTATTTTAGGTATGCTCAGAAGCACTGCTTACAGATCGTCCTCCTGAGACTGTACTCTACTCCCACTGAAGAAGACACGGGAATTGGTATGGGTTACTTCCAACAGCAATATCCAATTCCCTCAAGAGATTATTTGTGTTTTGCGACCGTCACAAATTTTAAGCTAGAGGCAACCATGGAGAACGGAGCCAGAGAAGCCGATGCGCTCACCTACCTGTCCGGGCTGTTTGATCGAACAGAGAGAAAGGCTCCTTAGGCTGGATCAAGCCGATAGTCTATTCGTTCCAGCCCCGCCGGGGCTCCCGGCACCCATCCGGCAGCAAAGGGAAAGACTTAACGCCACTGCCGGGGTCTTTCTTCGCCCTCCCCATGGCCGATCCGTTCCCCGGCCCACAAGGGTGGGGCAAAAGGACCTCTCACGCCCCCTGAGTTTGCATGGCACGGGCCCTGGGTGCTGAGAGTTTGCGGTCCGGTTTGGGGACGCTCGTCTCGGTCCTTTTCTTCCGCCCCGGGTCGAAGCCTTCCCAATCCTTCCGCCTCTCACTGAATAGTTAGTCCCGGAGCAGAAACAAACCAAACCGCAACCACCTTTGGCTGATCCTTCCTCCCCGAAGACAAAAAAAAAAAAAAAAAAAGCAATCCTCAGACAAGACTTTCCGCTAAAATCTTGTGCAATATGTAACTTTTCAGATTACTCAAACAGTTCTTGAAAAAGGACATATTTCTCCATGCTTAGCATAAATGCGTGGTCTTTGTAACTGGGTACTTAGTTTGTCAACTGTCGTGTGGTTGGTTCCTGTTTTACCTTCTCCAGGCTAGCGTCTTGCCAATGAACTCAATTTCAGTTCTCATAATTCCCACAGCCAAGCTTGCCAATTAGATGGATTCTAATTCTCGTTAGACCATTCTGAACAAAAAGCAAATAAATGCCTGCCAGATCAGATATGAAGATTTCAGACCGCAATTGTCTGATCCAGGAAGAGACGAGAGTTTACGCAAGCAGCGTTTCTTGGAAGAAGCAGCATTTTGCTCGAGAAAATAAAAATAACAAAAGAGTATCTGTATCTACTTTTCTGGTAATGCATTTTTTAAAAAAGAACTAGGAGGAAAAAGAAGATCCAGTTGGAGGGATGCAAATGAAATGAAAAAAAATGAAAAAAATTAACACATACATAGAAAATAAAATTAAATGTTTAATTACAGATTGATGCCTAAACATTTACCTATTTCTAACAAGATAAACCAGATCCTTGAAAAAATGTTTTTCTCCTGCTTCTCCTCTATCTAAAATTTTCTTTTTTCCCCCTGGAAAAAAGTGGTTAATTCTGAGACTGCGAAATCCTCATGTTTTCTACTGTGGTCCAGCTGTTTCTTTCTTATGAAAGAAAATCCAAGCTAGCAAACGGAAGAGCTTTGGTAATCTGACTTTGCACATAGCTCAGTGTGTGCACTTACAAAATGTGCATTACGTGACAGAGATGACACGTGATAGAGAATCAACATGTGCATAACCTGCCTTTAAGCTTCTGGGCATGCATGCAGCGTGCAGTTTGGTGGTACCAAGAATGCAGCTTTGCTTCACAACGAGGGGGTTCAGGATGATTATTCCAAGGATATCTGACAGAGAACCATTGCAACACAGGTTGTTAAAGCATTAGATTAAGATTGGGGCAGGAGTATAGGTAGTCCTTGATTTACGACCACAATTTACAAGCCCAAAGTTTGTGTTGCTAAGTGAAACATTTATTAAGTGAATTTTGACCTATTTTACGACCTTTTGTGCCGTAGTTGTTAAGTGAATCACTGCAGTTGTTAAGTTAGTAACACGGTTGTTAAGTGAATTTGGCTTCCCCACTGGCTTTGCTTGTCAAAAAAGAGGATAACATGACCCTGGGACACTGCAATTGTCGTAAAGATGAGTCAGTTGCCAAGCATCCAAATTTTGATCATGTGACTATGAAGATACCACAATGGTCGTAAGTGTGTAAAAAGGTTGTAAGTCATTTTTTTCAGTGCCGTTGTAACGGTCACTAAATGAACTGTTACAAGTTGAGGACTACCTGTATTCTCTAGCTCAAACTGCCGGCCCATGGACTGGTTGCATCATGCGGAGGCTGCGCCCACTCCAGCTCTGGCAATGTGAAAAGTCACGATATGTCGCGACACATCATGTGGCACAGCGAGTTTGATACCCGTGTTCTAGGTGCTTTAGACTACATTTGCCGTACATTAGAACCAAGCCCAAAATTCACATTTCCTCACTCTGTGTACTTAGAGAAACCAACAATAGCTTTTCTTACACAGAGTCCAGACGTTAAATACTCCAGGATTTCTTCTCCACTTCATTTCGACAAGCTAAGTGCCTTAGGAACCCATATTTTTCATTGAAGTACAGATAGCCCTTGACTTGCTGCCAAAATTTCTGTTGTTAAGTGAGACAATTGTTAAGTGAGTTTTGTCCCACTTTACGATCTTTCTTGTCATAGTTGCTAAGTGAATCACTGCAGCTGTTAAAGACACAGTTGTTAAGTGAATCTGGCTTCCCCATTGACTTTGCTTGTCAGAAGGTCAAAAAAGGTGATCACATGACCACGGGACACTGCAACCGTCATAAATATAAGTCAGTTGACAATTTTGAATTTTGATCATATAACCATGGACGACATGCTGCAATGGTCGTAAGTGTGAAAAATGGTCATAAGTCACTTTTTTCAATGCTGTTATAACTTTGGTCACTAAATGAAAAGTTGTAAGTCGAGGACTACTTGTAGTCAAGCCGCAGACAAAATGGTCATGAAGGTCTTGGAAAATATATTGAAATGTCGCGATGTGTCTATATCTGGAAGGATCAGAATAATACATGGAGTGCTACTTGCTGTGGCACTAGGAAAGTGAAAGATGGATTTTGAAGTAGCAGGATAGGAAAAGTACTGAGGCTTTTTCTGTAATAACTTTATTCAATTTCAACATCAAACATTAAAATACAGACTAACGTAAAAAGAAAAGGAAAAAAAACATCGAGTTTTTTAAAAGGCTGATATCGGAGAAGACACCTGAGAACAATTGAACAGCCAAGAAAACAAGCAAATAGATGATCAAACAAATCAACCTGGAGTTCTCATTTGAGGCGCAAATGACCAGGCATAAAATATATTTTGGACATATTAAGGGAAGACCTTATTCTCTCGAGAAGACTCTCCTACTGGAAAAAAGTAAAGATAAGAGAATGATCAGTAGCAACATGAACTCAGTTACATTGGTGCTAAGTACATCACTGGAAAAACTGAAGGACCCAGACTAGGAACAGATTGTAATGAAGAAAATCTATATGGTTGCTAAGAGTTAACACTGACTTAATGCCACGCAATAAAACAAATTGTCTGTATATAATCTAAATGGGGGGTTTCTAAACTTCAAATACAAATTAGGGATTTAAACATAAAGGTCAGCATTTATCCCACTTTAATTCAGCTGGCAAGTTTTCCATGAATAATTAGATTATTAAAAAAAGCTCTTCAAAACAGATGCTTGTTGTATTTCTCCCTCCACACACACACTCAGTTATGATAGTATGTCACTAAATTTAGCCAGATTCTGAATTCTCAGAATTAATTTAGAAGAAATGTTTTCCTTCGGTGGTGTATTCTCTCACCATCCACCATCAAGTTTTTAAAGTTCCTCTTAATTTTTTTTTGTCCTGGAATATATAAACAGATATATTCATATGCGAACTTAAACCTACACATATGGTTTATCAGTTTGTTTGAGTTTTTTTAAATAATTCATATGGCCACCCAGCTCAAAGATTGTGTCTGGGTAATGTACAATTGTTTAAAAATAAAGCCAACAATCTATCAGAGCAGATGAGTGGTAGGTGCTATGCAAACACATTTGAACTGTATAAATGAGAAAGAAGGACTCTTGTGGAAATGTATGCTGTATTGAAGCACATTTTTCAGAGCAATGGTAAGTCTCTGGACAAGGCTTTGTTGGGTTGGCATCTTTTTCAGGAAGGTGTCATTAGAAACCCATGGATTCCAATAGTCCTTTTTTTATTTGCAAATACACAATTTAAGTGAAGATATTGCTCACCTACAAGGAGAAAATGCCCTGCCATGAACTCTAGTATACATCTTAAGAAGGCTAAATCTTGGCCTTCATTTCTTATTGTTTTTGCCTTTTTCTGGATCAGCTGAAGCATATATTTTTGCCTGTTTGGAACTCCAAGGTCATCATCATGCAGGGTAGCTGATGAGGTTTGGCCAAGTCGATATTCATAATGATAGATTTTCAGACCAAGAGCCCCATTAACTCATAGAGGAACTTTCCCTGATCAGCCTTCCAGCTGTGTTGGGGTTAGTCTAAAGTGGGCATAGAGCCCAGAGTGATTGGAATTGTATCAATATTCCCTGTACAACAGTGGTTCTCAACCTTTTTAATGCCGCGACCTCCAACCGGTCATAAGTCGAGGACTACTCAACCGGTCGTAAGTCGAGGACTACTCAACTGGTGCAGCACCGTTTGCAGAATGGGACTTTTGGCGGGCTCAGCAGGGCAGAGACAGCCTGGACAATTCCTATTGGCTTTTGAAAGCCAATAGAATTAGACTCTATTCAAGAGAGTCTATTCTATTGGCTTTCAAAAGCCAATAGAATAAAAGGGAATAGCACAGCTAAGGAAAAGGGGGAAAAAATGGCAGACTGGGTTGTTTGGTGACCCCTGTGAAATGGTCGTTCGACCCCAAATGGGGTCCCGACCCACAGGTTGAGAACCACTGCTGTACAAGCTTCTCTTTCTCCCATTTCTAAAACCCTGGGCTACAATGGACAATGTTTGCATATGGAACCCCATAATTTAACAGCCAACCTAGTATGACAAACTAGTTGCCTTACATCATCATATAACATTAGCATTTTCTTTAGGCATGAATATTATGTTCCAAGACACTTCTCTCGATTATTTTCAAAGCAAGATGAGCTTCACTTTCTATTCAGAGGCAGATGCTGTGTAAGGGAGAAACTATTTCAGCAAGCTGGTACCTGGGGAAGAGTGATTGAAGGCAGAAGTGCTTCTTTCTCTCTGCTGCCTCATTGCTGCTATGTACTGTAGTCTCTGGATGTAGAGGTCCAGCAGTTTAGTCCAATTTTATACAAAAAAGTATAAAATTCACCAAGCAAATTGCCATGCTAAGGTTTTTTTTCCTTCCAAGTTGTGTCTAATCTAGAACCCCATTTAAATAATCTGATTATTGTAATCCCAGTGTACAAAATATATACATGTTGGGTTGGAGATAGACTATAACTCTTGTGAGGGGAAGACTGAGAAAATACAGTTGGCCAAAGACAGTTTTCTGTGTTCATGGTAGCGACAATGTTCCTCTCAGATTTCCCCAAGTCATCAAGAGAGATTTTTAGCTATCAACTGAAACAATGCTGAAACATGTATCCCACAAGTGTACCCAATGGATTCGACCTGTTTCTTCCTGAAATAAAATCTCCAGTTCAACAATTGGAGAAGTTCCTGGACCTCCCTCAACTTCTTGAGTTGACAGAAGAACCCTGGAAAGATTGAGATAATGTGGAGGAACTGAAGATGATGATCGAGGCTTTAGAGCAAGAGAAAACGGACTTAACTCTAGAAACTCCAAACCAGCCAAGAATCCACAACATAGCAGAAGTTTTACTTGTTGCTTCCCTGGGGAATTTAACCCTTTTTATAACATCTGAACAGAGGCTCCATCTCTTTTCTTCCCCCTTCCAGTTACCTCTTCTGGCGCATTGCAACCTCACCCAGTTGATCCCTCTCTTCCTCTTTCCTTTTCTTCACTGGCATCTGATATCCTTCCCCTGATATCTCCGTCAAGGCTCTGCTTGCTTCCAAAATGTTGCGGAAGAATCTCAGGAGGGTGAGATCAGCATCTCTAAGCAAATCATTAAAGCAACTTGGCTTTTTCAGGTTTCTGTCTCAACATAAAAGAAAACTTATTGCTGCTTCCTGTATTGCATTAACCTTAATCTTTGGATTACTTAAAATCTGAAGCACTTTATCCAATTCATTTTCAAAATATGTACCTTCTTAGTCTCTCCTTTTTGGGGGGGGGGGAGAGATGCTCTTTCTGTGTTTCTGTATCTATATGTGAAAGTGCCTTATTTAGTTATAAGCTGATAGGAACAATTTTCAAAATTATAAACAAATTTATTTTGTAAACAATTTTAATTAGGAGGTATTTATTTATTCTGGAAAATGTTCATATACTCTACGTGCACCGCAGAGGATTTTGTGTATTTATAATTTTCTGCCTAAGCATCCTTTTTAGGAAGTGTCATTTGATATTCAGGATTGATGTTCTTTCAGCTAAATATGGTAGCAATCATTGTTAAAGCCATTTGCAAAGGCAAAGGTTGCCTATTCCCAACCTGTCAACTGAAAGAGTCTAATTTGATTCTTGAAGATTTGTTCCTATCTACAGCTTTTATCTCACCCACATTATTTCATGTTTTACAGTGATAATACCACGCTTCAAACTCATGTAAAATTCAGTCTGAATTTTAACCTCTGACCCATGTGACAGGTAGTAGGTAGGCAGACAAATTCTAGTGATTTAGAATAGTCAATATATTTAACCTATGTTTAATGTCACAAATAAACTATGCATCTTCAGGCATTTCACGGTACATTGGTCTGGAAAAAGGACCCTGATAAATTTGTATCCCATATCCGTCAGATTATAAAGACAGGTATATCTTTAGCTCTGTTGGTTGACAGCTAAATTAAACACTTAAATGTTACAGTTTCTAAGCTGTAATGTCAAGTGCATTTACGTTATAGGCTTCAAAAGTCTGAGTATCTTCAATTCGGATATATGTTTTGTACTTTATTTTTAAAAGGAAAATGTATTTAGTTTTCAAAAGCCATCATATATGTCCAATCCAGTAAACAAGCCTGGCTTTTATCCAACAGAGTAGGTAGGGCTATTTGGTGTACTTGATTAGTTGTTCTTATTAAGCTCTTCTTCCCTTTTGGTACTCAACTGAGTTTCATTGGACAGAATAACAGAGTTGGAGAGGACCTTAGAGGTCTTCTAGTCAACCCCCTGCTCAAGCAGGAGACCCTATACTATTCTGGACAAATGACTTCCCAAATCTTTAAAAAGTGTCCAAATTCCATCACTTTGACACTTCCAACTCTGTTATTCTGTCCAATGAAATTTTCAGTTGAGTACCAAAAGGAAAGAAGAGCTTAATGAGAATAGCTAGGCAAGTACACCAAATAGCCCTACCTACTCTGTTGGATAAAAGCCAGGCTTATTTATGAGCAAATTAGGCTTCAGACATTCCAGGTCCAGTTCACTCTCAGGCGGATTCATCTGAGGCCCAGTTGTAATCCATTGCCACCAGCGTAGCTGTCTGGGTGATTTGCTGAGTATTTTGTAGTTGACATTAACAAAGAAATTGCTGCTGGCACATGCTGTGCTGTTTCAGCTGTTCAGCACACCAGCTTAAGAGAAGTACATCACATCAGTCTAGTTACAGTTAATGCATTCTTAGATGCTTTCCATTAAATGCAGATTATGAAGTGCAGGAAGCAATAGCACTAAGGAAAAATAATCACATTAATAGATGTAGATTTTAGACGTAAAATCAGTCATTTTTATTACAGTACTGAATCAGTTCTTAATTTTAAAAAGAGAACTTAGTTAATCTAGTCTCATTGGCTCCCCCCAAAACGTATTTTCAAACATTTTGATGTTTCCCTGTTAAAATGTGGAAACATGTCATGGTTGAATGATAACTTGTGTCAGCATATGCCACAAGAAAATCTTATCTTATGCATATGTCTATTCTTGTCAGACATTTTATATGGAATCCTTGATGCCCTCTGAGCTTTGTTATTTGCTTGCAAATATTTCATTGCCTGACTAGGTAACATCATCAATGCTAATGAGTGTGGAGTTTGCACCCTATTTATATACAATAGCTTGTCCTATATAGTAGCTGGCCAGTTGCCATTGGCAGGCCAAGGTACTATGTATATACAGTACATTGTATATGCTGTAAAGAAACAGGGAGCAAACCTTCTGGGTAGCGAAGCTCAGAGATCACCAAGGACTTCACAGTTAAACCTGAGCTACATATATTTTCTTTTATGGAAAACAGTGATCAATTTATACACAATATATGATATAAGCATTAAACCCTATCAGAATGTGCCTGATACCTTCTTACTGAAGAGATTAGTTAATAGGCAAAAAATGGAAACATTCCAAAGAGATCTAAGTAAAGCAGTGCCTCATCTATACTGCTTAAGCTCATTAGAGGAAAAGGTAGAATATAAATTAATAAATAATTAATTGTGCATCCCATATACCTAGAAAAGTCCCATTGCCGTATTTGCAACAAATGGAAAAGGTGACATTATGACATATATTCCACAAATAGTCATTCAGAAGCACCAGATAATAGGTAACTATGTCATCAAGTGGCTTAATATTAGATACAGCAATTTGTTAAAGAGCAGTAGTTAAAGTGGAGCAAGTTAAACAATATTCTTCCAACCTAAAGTGGGGTCAGTGCAGTTCAGAAAAAGCTCTGACTCAGATGTGCAATATGGAATAAGCAACATGTAGTTAGCTGCAAATTATTCACTGAAAGCTCAAATGGTGTAAAGAATACTGAAAGAATTTATTTATTTAATTCAATGTTTGGCCAGCTGAGTGGGGATTCTGGAAGCTGAAGTCTATACTGCTGTATATCTTAAAATGCTCAGAGTTGAAAAAAAATAAACTGAGAACAAATGGCAAATAAGATTTAGAGTTAGAGCAAAGTGCAACAACAACAACAAAATCCTAACTTGAACATTAGAATTAGAATCAGCTAGCAGGAAGAATCATCAAGAGACTAGAGTATCTTTCCCAACCACATTTGGGACTGTTGCTTGGAAATTCTGGGAGCCATAATTTCATTATATCAGAAGGAATCAAGTTTTGTAAATGGGAAAATTTTGTAAGAATATGAATAGACAATGAAGAATGTATGTCCAGTTTGAATCTTAGTATTAATTTGATCTGCCATTTGAGAAGGAAAGCATTTTTAAAATGTAAAGAAGTATTTAAAGTGATATCATACAAGCAAGGTTATATGCTCAATAATTCTCATAGTATCATTATATTTTTCTTATATGGTCTGATCATCAATGTAGGATTAGATCTGGAAAATGTTCCCCTCAGTGTGTTTTAAAAAACAACAATGTATTATAAAATGTATTCAATAAATAATAATTGCTCAAGGTATAGAAACATGTACTAACATATTATTTACTGCATAATAGAAAGTTATCTAAACATTTATAGCTCAACAAGTCTCAGTGACTCTAGGTGGCACTTAAAGCCCTCAGTTTGCAAATTGCATACAATTATCTGAGGATCCCAGGATATTTAAAGCCGCTGTTTAACCCCCAAATGTGTGCTTCATGTCCTTGTCCTATCACATTCTAAATGTGGCTTAAATCTCAGCTCCACGGATCGGGGGTTGGGGACCCCTGCTTTACAGTATCATGTAAAGTACTTAATTTCATTATAATCTTCCTTTCAATGAGTTATTACCCCCGATAATTAAGCTTTTCCTTCAGCCCAAGTGTTTTATTTGCTTGCAGTAAGTTTCCACCTTGAATTTTGTGAAGAAATTTAGAAGTGACCCTCTTTGATTTTAATTTCAATCATTTATTTTCCCCTCAATAAATTAAATTTGTAAATTATAGTCCATCATAAAGGAATACTTTAGCTGCTTTCACACAATAGAAGCTTCTCTTTGTTCTGATTCTCTGTTCAGCAGTACTGTAAGGCTGAAAGATATAATGTCTACAGGCAACCTTATAAAAAATAGCAATCTTTTCAAGTCTGTATTCTTCTTAAGCATTTTATTTATTTTAACCACATTTTTAAATGAAATGAAATGAAGTTACTTTCAGATATAATTACTGTATTGATAACTCACTCTTTTAAAAATTTAGTCGTATCTTTATCCCATAGTAATGGTCTTTACACAATCCAAATGACTATACAGTAGAAAAATATATAATGAAAATTTCTATATACAAAGTTACCTGTATATGCAATCACTACCTGATTAGTGTCACCCAACTAATAGCATTTTCTTCTATGATATTCAGTCATAAAGCACTAAAACAGTCCATACTCAACTTAGTTTTCCCTTTGTTTCATGAGAATAACCATTCTATGACTCTTAGATGCTACTGAATCCAGGTCTCTTACTACATATCTGAGGATAAAGATTCCCCTTTGTTTTTTTGAATAAAAATATTTTGTATTTTTATATGTTCTCATGTTCAATGAAGTATTTAATGCCTCCTATCCCCATGTCCCCTAATGCAATAATTAGGAAGTAATAGTATCTTATCATTTGCCTGTGACATATTGTGTTCTTCACAGCAGAGGTCCCCAACCTTTTGGGCACCAGGAACCGGTTCCGGTTTTTCTGCAGACAAGAGGGGGCGTGGTTTTGTGTGAGTGCTGCCTGCATCCCACGGATGGGGCTTTGCTTGTTTGTGTGGACTGGTTGCTGGCATGCTGTAGCCCGGTACCGGTCCACGGATCGGGGGTTGGGGACCCCTACTTTACAGTATCATGTAAAGTACTTAATTTCATTATAATCTTCCTTTCAATGAGTTATTACCCTCGATAACTAAGCTTTTCCTTGAGCCCAAGTGTTTTATTTGCTTGCAGTAAAGGTTTCCACCTTGAATTTTGTGAAGAAATTTAGAAGTGACCCTTTGATTTTAATTTCAATCATTTATTTTCCCCTCAATAAATTAAATTTGTAAATTATAGTCCATCATAAATATGAAGCAGCTTTGATAAAACAGAATTTACATTATCTGAAATACCTCTTGTACCTTTTTGTCTACTGTTCATTGGTGTTTTTAAACATCTGTTAAAGCTTCCTGCGATGCAGATACATTTGTCACTATTCCACGAACGTGTAATTCTCCTGTAATGTTTAGTCTCATCAAATCCTCAGGATTCATTTTGTAAAGCTGCTGTTGAATAGCTGATGCTTTCAACCCCAAAGTTCATTTAAGATATGCACACAAAATCTGATGACATTATAATGAGGAAGATTTATAAAAACAGAAAATATCCTTGCCTCCATCTGTAATCAGTCTTTATGTATTCATATAGATATATAGATATGTATGTATACATATGTAAATGATTTATTCCCCTGCCCCAACAAGATATGAGAAATATTTGTGCAGATTAAGGGTCTTCATCCATCAATGGAATTTCTAGAAAATAAAAGAAAGAATTAATGGGCTTTAATTGTGAACTGTCATATGGAATGTCCTGCAATTTTTTTGTGTTATATCTTAAGAACTGCAGGTCATCAAAGAGCCTACAGTTCTTAAGATAATTCAGTTATGCAGAAATTCAGGCAATCAGAATCAGTGATTTCACAGAATCAGTTCAATTAATTCAAGAACTTTATAAATGGCTGTGCAATGAAGCAGTCTTCTGGCCAAAGCATCTTATGGCAGATGAATTCTCATATAGCTTAAATTTGGCATTCAGGTAGTCCGCATTTAGTGACTACAATTCAGACATTAAGAAAAAGGCTTGACTGCGTGTATGATATTATTTCAGTTTTTCTTTGCTTTTCAGACCGTAAAAGGACATAAATGTGATGACTGACTATCAAGTTACTTTTTTGTCAATGACATAAATAAGGTCATTACACAAGGCAGTCACTAAACCAGACCACTTACACTATATATTTCAGACTAATTTGGGTCATTCGAATCATCATGGCACTATACTGGCCACTTAATTTTGTTGCTTTCTGCTTTGTTCCAGAGCATAAGAGATTTCAAAATTAAAATGTATTAGGGCTTTTAGAGTAATTCTGTTGACTACTCTTTAGGTAAATTGAATATGTTGCTACCCTGATTTGTTTGTAAAAGTAATAAAGGCTGAATACAAATAAATAAATAAGCAAATAAACAAATAAAGGAGAATATAAGCAAATAAACTCTACAGTTTCAGGAATGGAATGTTGTGTGCTGTTCTCTCCATATATCTGTTTTAACTGGGACACTCTGTGAATGATTCAAGATTTGCAAGATTTGCTTCCCAAAACTTGCAGATTACTCCCAAAATGGCTGGGGAAGTTCAATTTAGAAGAACAGAATACCCTTAGGAACACTCAATTTCTGGAATGATAGGTTTTGCATAATTTCATTGTTTCACATTATAAATTATATTAATTTTCTACTTTCTTTGATATTGTAGAAGATGCTATTAGACCACAGCGCAAATTATATTCAGCATATTAGCCCAATGAAATGGACATATTAGTATTAAGAAAATCCATACTCAGCAAAAGAACATGATTTTTATAGGACCTTGAAATATTAATTGGATAACTTGAATGTTATGATTAAAAAAAAGAATAATTTGGGTGTAACTAGGATATCAGTGTAACTTTTTCACACTGTTCCACTTCAAACAAAATGAGAAGTTATAAAACCAAGTATCAGAATTGTCTTTAGTAACCTAAATCAAATAGAAGAGAATATTTAATAATAATAATAATAATAATAATAATAATAATAAATTTGTGCAAAGATCGATGGCACAATGGAAGACACAGTTGCAGATCAATGGTGAGAGACTGGGAGAGGTTAATATCAAGAGAGGAATATTTCAAGGAGATTCATTATCACCATTACTATTTGTTATTGCACTGTTTCCTCTGTCAACAATACTGAATAACTCAGGACATGGCTATCAAACATCAAAAACATCTGACAGACTATCCCATCTCCTTTACATGGATGATCTGAAGCTGTATGGAAAAACATCATCTGAAATAGAATCGCTGCTCAACACTGTCCGTATATATAGCCAAGATATTGTAATGGAGTTTGGCTTGGACAAATGTGCCACACTTACTATCAAACAAGGAAAAATAGTGAAAACTGAAGGAATCAAGATGCCCCACGAAAATAACATTAAGAGTCTGGATGAGGAAGAGTACTACAAATACTTGGGTATCCTTCAAGCTGACAACATCAAGCACACTGAAGTCAAGAAAAAGACTTAGAGGTGAATACATCAAGAGAGTGAAGAAGATCTTAAAGTCCATACTCAATGGAGGAAATACCATAAAGGCAATCAACACCTGGGCAATTCCAGTCATTAGGTACACAGCTGGAATAGTGGACTGGACTCAAGCAGAACTAAAAGCAATGGATAGGAAGACCAGAAAAATAATGACAATGAAACATGCCCTCCATCCACACAGTGACATTGACAGACTTTATCTACCAAGGCAAATAGGTGGGCGTGGAATGCTACAAGTACATCAGGTGGTTGAAGATGAAAAAATGGCTTTGGAAGAATATCTGAAGAATAATGATGAAGATGCACTGAAATTAGTATATCAGGAAGGCTTACTGACTACTGGAGAGACCAAAATGGCCTACAAGAAAGACCAAATGAAGAACAGAATAGAGGCATGGGAAGACAAAGCACTACATGGCCAATACGTTAAAAAAAATAGCTGGGAAAGCAGATAATAACCTGGGAATGGCTAAGAGCAGGAAAATTGAAGAAAGAGACTGAGGGACTAATTCTGGCTGCACAAGATCACGCCTTAAGGACAAATGCATATAAAGTCAAAATTGAGAAGACAGCAACAGACAGTAAGTGCCACCTATGCAAAGAAACTGAAGAAACAGTGGACCACTTGGTAAGCTGTTGCAAGAAGATTGCACAGACTGACTACAAGCAGCGGCATGACAAAGTAGCAACAATGGTGCATTGGAAGATCTGCAAAAAATATCATTTGCCTGTAAGCAAAAACTGGTGGGATCATAAAATAGAGAAAGTCATAGAAAATGATAAAATTAAACTGCTCTGGGACTTCAGAATTCAAACAGACAAGCACCTGCAACATAACACCACCAGACTTAACAATTGTCGATAAGAAAGACAAAAAAGTCTGGATAGTGGACGTGGCAGTGCCTGGAGATAGCAGAATAGACGAGAAAGAACTGGAGAAGATAACAAAATACAAAGACCTACAAATAGAAATAGAAAGACTGTGGCAAAAGCAAGCAAGGGTAGTACCAATAGTCATAGGCTCCTTGGGTGCAATCCCAAAACAACTGGAGCACCACTTGAACACCATTGGCATTGACAAATTCGCTATTAGTCAATTGCAAAAGGCGGCCTTATTAGGAACTGCTTCCATCCTGCGACGATATCTGTAATACCATCAAACATCCACATCTGCCTATCCCAGGTCCTGGGTAAGGACTCAATAGGTAGACAAAATGCCAAATCCAGTCTGAACATCTGGCTGACTGTGCGATGATCCATAATAATAAATGATTGCAGCCCTGGCTTTCCCTATAAATTTGCTCATGTAACCTCAAAATGATCCTTAGTATCTTAGAAGGATAAAAAGCTCACCTTCTATTGCACTCATTTTTATGAAAACGCAGTCCTTTTCTGGAAAATAATTTATCTGATTGTTTACCAAGAATCTGAAAAGTTTTAAAATTTGAAACATTTTGAACTGAAGTGGGTTTTAAATCTCTTTCTCCTGAAATTCTATCCTGAATTGGGACAAAATTGGAAATTCCATTTTGTTTGAGTGTTCCAACATCCCTTGATGGGATTTAAAAACACTTCTCCGAGAAATGGAGTCTTAAAGACAATACTGTGTTTTCCCCAAAATAAGACCCGGTCTTATATTTTTTTTTGCCTCCAAAAGAGGCACTAGGTCTTAACTTCAGAGAATGTTTTACCTTAGGACCATCACAGTCAGGCCTCCCATTGCCCAACACCTGTCATGCCTCTGCCTGACTTCTTTTGTGGCCACTTGATGCCACTTGCAACTGGATGCCATGTGGCACATTGCGCCATTGCTGCTACTCGTGGCAGGAGGCTGCATGATGCTTTGCGCTGTTTCTGCTGCTTGCGGCAAGAAGCTGCATGGCGTTTCAGGCTGTTTCTGCTGCTTCAGCAAGAGGCCGCATGGCACTTTAGGCCATTTCTATTGCTTGCAGCAAGAAACCACGCGGTTCTTCAGGCCATTTGTGCTACTCGCAGCAGGATGCCAAGTGGCTCTTTGGGCTCAAAGAGCCATCCAGCGTCCTGCCAGAAGCAGCAGAAACAGCCCAAAGTGCCGTGCGGCTTCTTGCTGTGAACAGCAGAAATGGCGCAAAGCACCATATGGCAGCTCAAAGTGCTGTGCAACCTCCTGCCAGGAGCAGTGGCACTGGCGTGAGTAGCCACGCAGCTTGACAAGTGTTGGGGTGTGGAAGGCTTAGTTGCGGCAGTCCTACCGGCAAGGTAAGCAGGTGTAGGGTGCATGGGGCGGCTTCACCGCCCTATCCTGCCCTACCTTGATTTTTAGGTATGCAGCTCACCCCAAAACTAGGGCTTATTTTTGGTGTAAGGCTTAATTTAGGCCCACACCCAAAATCAAGCTAGGGCTTACTTTTTGGCTGGGTCTTACTTTCGGGGAAACACAGTATTAATTAATAAGACAGCAGGTATAGACTCCATCTCATCATGGAGAAAAACTATGTGGTTCTTAAGAATCAACCATAACTTGATCAAGTTTTTTTTTAAAATCAGAATGACCTATACTGTACAATAAATATAGTATTGTACAATAGAGAGTTGGACTAGAAAACCTCCAAGGTCCCTTCCAACCTTTCATTATTGATAGCATGTAATTAATCATCAATCAGTTGGTTCCACCTCTGCTGGCATTGGCTGGAGATAACTGAGGGCAGACACAGTGGGGAGACTAAACATGGGCTTTATAGCTGAGTACTCTGTGCATATATGAAATAGATTGCTATATTCCAAAGAGTTAAAATTATCATTGTTTTAAATTCCTTGTTACATAGAAATTAAAGATTATGAACTGTAGCAAAAATTAACTGGCAATCTACTTGAAAAGTAAACCCAGCAAACATAAACACAAAATATACATTAAGGCTAAGTAGTCCTCTGCTATTCAGCCACACAGTGTCACTTTGGATAGTGAGTCAGGTTCCATATAAATTTAATAAATAAATACGTAGCTTCAATATTGCATTATTGATTCCTTGAGTTTTTGGAATTCCTTGAGTTTTCAACACAAAAATGTTACTTTTTTCATTCTATGAAAATATAGATTTTTTTTATTCTGGGTTTAGAATTTTTCAAAAATTTGGGGCATTCACAGGATACCTTCAAAACTTCAAATATGCACCTGATCAAAAAAGATTGGAGATCTTGAAATATGGGCTCCTGAGATAGGGCACAAATGGCTATTTTCACATTCTATAGCTAGATAACTATTTAAGTTCCCTAGTGACTTACTGATTACATGAATAAATAACCATCTATGAAAACTAGCTAAACAGCCTCTCCAACAAATATTCAGGAACTCTGCCATGAAAAAAACATTAACAGTGATAAATTGGGTTGACACATACTATTGATTATGAACAATAATACTCGCTTTGCTTGTCCTGATTTTTTTTAGATGAATCAGAACTGCACCTTATAACAGACATAAATCAATATTAATAGAAGCATTTCGGGAACACAATCAGACATTCAGACTCCAAATGGCATAATTAACTGGTGTCCTCCAATTTACATTCTGCGATGAAGCATACCCACCACCCACCAGTTCATTTCCAGCCAATAAAGGGCAGATATATGCTTGCTACGACAGCAGTGAACATTTGGCTTGTAAAGAAGCTTTGCTAGAAAAAAAATGGGGTTGGGGGGAAGGGAGAGAGAAGCTAGAACAAAGAGACAGACCACAGATCTGAGGATAGATTGCTTCTCCCAAGCACAATCTCACGGCTTTTCCATATGGAAAAAATTGACCCTAAAATAATCCCACATAAGGTTCAACATTCAAAATTACCATCAGCAATATCAATGCTTGGACTGGTTGATGCTACTTCTTCAGTGGTGCTGTTGATAACATCAGTTCTGTCTGAGACAGGATGAGCTCCCATCTGACATGCAGAAGATGTGTATAAACTCTGGAGAAGTTCTGAAGAGCCTGAAATGCTATCACAGGTGTCAAATTCAGCTGGCAACCTGTTCAAATCATCTGGTCCAGGATAAGCTGGAGGATTCTGACCATCTGCTTGAAAAATATATCCCTGGCCTGCAGAAGGCGGACATCCTGGTGCCAATTCATTCATGCCACTACTCACAGCTTCATCATAAGAAGGAAGCATGACAGGAACACCATCTACCACCACAAAGTCTGGGCCATTGCTGCAATTCTCTTGAGTATCTCTAGATCAGGGGGAAAAAGAGAACATATGTGTATAAAAATGATGTGAATGGCTAGACATCCTTTGCCAGAAATAGAGTTCTTCAAGAACAAAATTTTAAATCTTTTGAAATGCAGTTAGCAGATCTGTAAATATTTACTTCAAAGATACCAAGAGCCTTCTGAGAATGTATCATGTAACTAATATTTACAAAAGAAAAAAAAACTCTAATAACCTAAGGAACGACTGATAAACCTATCAGTATTCCCCATTAAGAATCTTAGTATATCTCAATTTATATCAAAATCTTTAGATTAATGAACATAAAAATATTAACAGGAGAAAATCCTAGGAAGAACAGTTATGATAGCTAAAATTACTTCAATTATGTATTTTCACTGGTCACGGTCTCTGACTGAATGAGCACCAAAGTTAAATTATAAAGTAACACTTCTGACCCTGGAACCCTCTGGAGATGTTGACTTCAGGTCCCATGTTTGCATGGGGTAATTCAAAGCCAGGATCTGAACAATTTCCCATCAAATTAGAAAAGTTCGTTTCAAACTTTTGTCTTATACTTTAAAATTGTGTGTGCATCATTAATCATGACAGTTTGTATATTTCCCTTCACTGTATGCTAATACGATGCAAAATAAAATAAATAACACAAAATTGACTAAATTAATACAAAACTGACTAAATCAAGTTTTTTTAAAAATCAGAATGACCGATACTGTACAATAAGTATAGTACTGTACAATAGGGGTTGACTAGAAGACCTAATGTGGGCACGAGGCCTGTTTTAGTGTGGGGGTAGATCTATTATATCAATAAAACTGGAGAACAGCCCTTCCCCACACAATACTCCATAAATATGTTGTGATTGCAACCCTAACTAGTGTAGAATCATAGAACATAGAATGATAGAGTTGGAAGGAACCTCAGAGGTCTTCTAGTCCAACCTTCTGCTCAAGTCAAGAGATCTTATACCATCCTGGTCAAATGGTTGTCCAGCCTGTTTTTGAAAACCTCCAGTGATGGAGCACTGACAACTGCAGAAGGCAAGCTATTCCACTGATTAGTTGTTCTCATAGTCTGAAAATTTTTCCTTACTTCTAGGTTGGATCTCTCTTTAACAAGCTTCCACCCATTATTTCTTGTCCTACTCTCTGGTACCTTGGTAAAATAAGTCAATCCCCTCTTCTCTGTGATAGCCCATTAAGTACTGGAAGACAGTTATCATGTTTTCCCCCCCCCCCAATCTTTCTCTTCAATGGATTAGACCACGGGTGTCAAATTTGCCATGTCACGTGACATGTCGTGACATATCATGACTTTTTTTCATTGCCAGAGCTGAGGTGGCCACTGCCTCCTTATGATGCAACCAGCCCATGGGCCAGCAGTTTGACACCCCTGTCTTTGACATACCTAGCTCCCTCAGCTGTTCACTATATAATTTAGTGTCCAGACCTTTTATCATCTTTATTGCTCTTCTCTGCACACTTTCTAGGATTGCAGCATCTTTTTGTATCATGGTGACCAGAACTGTACACAATATTCCAAATATCGCCTCACTAGTGCAGTATAAAGCAGCTTAATCGTTTCTCGTGATTGCAATGTTCAGTCCTTTGTTGATTGAGCCTAGGATTGCATTGGCTTTTTTGGCAGCTGCGGCACATTGCTGGCTCATACTTAAGGGATGGTCCACTAGGACACCTAGATCTCTCTCATAGTTACTTCTGTTGATCCAGGTATCTGTGCATTTGGTTTTTCCTGCTTACTTTTCTTACCACCGTGTCTTGTTGGCTAGGATCCAATGCTCAAGTCTGTAAATGTCCTTCTGAATTTTGAGTCTATCTTCCTAAGTTTTAGCAATTCCCCCCAGCTAGGCATCATCTGCAAATCTGATGAACTACATTTTTATCTTCTTGTCTAGATTATTTATGAAAATATTGAACAGTACTGGGCCCAAGACAGAACCCTGAGGTACCCCATTGCAAGTTTCCCTTCATGTAGATGTAGTTCCTATACACTAGGTATGGTTGGTCAGCAAATCCATCTGGTGGTGGTACTGTCTGTCACACATTTTCCCATCAAGATAGAAAAATGTAGAAAGTAGTAGGCTGTCGTCTACTTGTCAAATTCTTTAGTGAAGTCCAAGAATACTATGTACATAGCATTTCACTGGTCCACTAATTTAGTCACTTTATCAAAGATGGATATAGGTTTTGCCTGGCCTGAACTGCTTTTAACATAGTTATGCTCATTTCCTGTAATCACTTTGTTCACTTCTAGCTACTCATAAATCCTCCACTTGATTATTGATTATCTTTTCCATGATGTCAAGCTGATTGGCCTATAATTTCCTGGATCCATCCTGGGAGTGGCAACCCCAATGCCACTAGAGGAGTCCTGTTAGGGAATGCTTATGGAATATGCTGTGTATTTAAAAAACTAGAACAGATTTGGTCTCAAAAATGAAATAATTTAGTCAGTGAAGGTTTTTAAACTAGACACTGAAGCCTCCCAGTGTCTGTGTATAAAGAACTTGCTTCTGTCCACTTTTGTTATATAAAAATAAATTTCAGGAGAAATGAAAAAGCAAACTAATAATAGGAGGAAGATGTTACTTAAAACTGTGTAAAATGAAAGAAAGCAAGGTCAAAGGTAAGTATGTACTGAATACAAAAGTAAATGACTAGTACATAATGAAATAAATATATATAGATGATTTGAGAATATAGAATGAAGTTTTAATTATAAAATTATAAAGGAGCTTTTTCATGAGGTAACTGTAATTTATTTTTTCTCTTTGAAGATGTTTCACTTCTCATCCAAGAAGCTTCTTCAGCTCTGACTGGATGGTGGGGAATCCAACCCCACCTTTGGGACAACCATATATAAAAAGCGCAATACTCGTACTTTAATAGGATACATTGATCATACTGTTTTCTGAAAACAAACAGGTTATTACAGTTATATAAGTTAATTGTAATACAAATCAGTTGCAAATAAAATTCCTAAGAATCATCAATTGCTTTGCACACCAGCAAAAATTAAACCAGTACTAACCTTGGAAGGAAATGTGCCTTAAATTTGGTTTGGAACATTCTGGCAAGAATAACTAACAGAAGCATTAGAAGAACACTAGTAGCAGTGAATGCCACAATCTTCCATGTTCGCAAAAGAGTTTCCTGGTTATTTGGCCAGGCTTGTTCTGTGAAACAAAGAGTAATAGGAAAACTACTAGTCACATTTGATAATAATGGCCTTTTATTGTACACAAGAAGAATCAGAACCCAAATTGCAAGCTAAGCTACAAAGCTACAAACACAACAAACATGACTGCTCATATTTATTTCTGTTTTTACAAAATTATTTCCAATCTAATAAATTATCACATGTGGAAGCAGTGATATCTACAGATCAAAACAGAAAAATGATAATCATGGTCATGGGAGCCAAACCACACATTGTTAATATATCTATTGACATTGCACATATACAAAAGGGGCAGAGTTTGGATTGTGACACCTCCTATGGATACTTTGGTTCTGAAAGCAAAATAAACTCTACAAGTAATAAGATATTGTGGAGGCAGTTTCAATCCAAAACATACTTTTATTTGAAAATTTAATGTTTAAATATTTAGGCTTTTGCTGGCTATCCAGATTCCTTTGTTCTTACCTGTTTTGACACAGTATACTTGATATGATGGAAACCATTTTCCATACTGGCAGGTGATATATTTGTAATCATTACTGAGAGTGTAGCCAGGATCACAATAGAACTCAACTACAGTTCCATGGTTGTAATGTTCACAAGGCCGCGGATGGCAGATATAATCTCCATGAGTCACCATAGGAGGTAGCGGACAAACTTGGACACAAATAAAATATTAAAAAAGTGAGTTAACTATAGTAACACCCAGTGTCAACAGAAATAAAAATATAACAATATTTCTATACAATGTTACTTCAGTCAAAACATAAAACATATCCATAATTTTATGCCACAGGTACCAATATATTACACATCAACAGATTAGTTTCTGCACAATAGCAGGTGCAATGTTATGAATAAAAAAAATGAAATAATTACTATTGCTGAAAACACTGTTGTGCAAATATTAATGTCAGGTTTTATTAAAAATAACAAAAAAACTCCACACAAATTATATTCCCAATATTATGCCTCTATTTCATTTTTTAATAATTTTACAATTGTATAAAGTACATTAAGCATGCTTCGTGTTTAGTCAATGAAATATATGCTAGAATCTAAAACTAAAAAATACTGTAAGATTTCAATAGGTGCATAAAGATTGGAAAAAAATAATAAATTTTGTTACAATAAACATTCTTGTACCTACCTAAAACAAGCAACTACTTAATTTAATTTAATGTAAAAGTATTTAATACAAGATATATCAAAATAGTTAAATAGGTAAAATTCTTAAACAACCCTTAAATTTCTATTTAGAGAACATGAAGCACTAAATAATGAATGTGATCTACCTAAATATCCAAATTTGTCTGGAGTCAACGAAATTGTAGTGCCTAGTGTATTTGCTCAAGTATAATTTGCATCAACAGAGGTGAACAGTGATGTCAAAAAAATTTCCCTTTTTACACTGAATTATACAGCATTATAAATGAAGGCCATAAAGAGGACTCTTCTTATTGGCAGGTGACCTAATTGCACAGATTGGTAAATTACAGCTTGGCTGGGAAGATGTCTAGTAGCATGAATGATAATTGATACAATTAAACTCAGTATTCCTTTGCAATAACCTATTCGGGGACAGGCCTGATCATCAACTAACTTGGTAGTCATGAGCACTAAATGTTGCTTCTATGATCAATTATTTCCTAAAAGGAAGGTACTTTAAGTCTGTTGTTAATGATGTCAGGGTTTTGAGAGGTGCTGAAATATAGTAATGTCTGACTATCACCTGGTTCAATGCAAGATCAAATTGAAAGCTGTGCTACCCTCTGATCTGCCACTTAGTTTCAGCTGAACTTAAACTTATCTGAATAATGTCAAGAAGCCACAGACTAGACACTCTGCAACCGAATGCACATTATGTCTGTGTAGAAAAGCAATGATCTGAAGTTGGAAACACCATCAATCTGGCAATAAGAATTATCTGCCTTTGCACACAGAAAAGACATAGTAAAAAACAGATAACAAATTATCCATTGATACAAGAAGGCCAAGTTTGCAAATCTAACAGTTGCAAAAATGCTGACAAAACAATTACTCAAAAATCTGAAAAGAAGACTTACTGAGATGGGACAGCTGCAGGGGTTGGGACAACAGATGGGCACAGTAACCAAAGGTCACTCTTCTCAATCTTGAAAACATTAGCAAGCAGAGCTGATTTAGCAGAGGCATCAGTAATGTGCCCCGGCGAGTGGCTAAAATGCTAGCCAAAGTGCTACAACACTGGAAACAACTTGCTTTTAAATTATGAGGCCCTAGCTGCATTAGATCAAGACCGAGGATCCAGATCCATTCTCCGATATTGTATGTGAAAGTGTACTGAACAAAATGGAGATTGTTGCAGTTACAGTATCAAAAATGAAAATGGAGAAACCGCAAGGCTTGACCAACACAAGGAAGGCCTGTACAGTAGTGATTATATTCATAGACCCTATTGAGGCAGAAATGCTTTCAGGGAAATGGATGCAAGTATGTCACTTCAAAACCAACACTCCAAACTTGACTGAAAATGAAATACTCAATATTCCATTCTACTTTATGGCCATAACATTTATTTGTATTTTGAATGTGCTTGAGTTGTACAATGGGGAAGAAACATAATCATAAATTTTAGATACGAAGGTCAAATTGATATCTACCACTTGCCCTCTTGGAAATTAAGCAAGTTCTATTGCTTATTATACCTGCTCAAAGTATACTCATATTGTATTATGATGAAAGGAAATTCAGATGGCTGTCATCTAAAGAAAATGAATGGAAACATAACAAATCTTCTATACTGAATTTCTGTTACCAGAATCTAACTTGCAAAAATCAATTATTCAACTGCCAAATGTCAAATCTCCAGTTTTAGGTTAGTTAAAACTCCAAGTTCCTTCCCTTCTGAGAAAGGAGCAATCTTATCCCTTGTTCTCTCTGAGGGCTGCTATGCTTATTTCATGGCTCTGTTACACAGTAAAGACCTAGTGCATCAATATAAATAATGTATGCACCAATTCACAACAGTATATTTTTCATAGAAATCACAATTCAGTAATTTCTCCCCCTACACTTACTCACATAAATAATGCATTTCAAAAGTAATTCCACTCTCTCCTTTCAAAGAGGATAATCAGACACTAAATGAATCTTCAAAAAGAATTGATTGTAATGTGCAACTCACTCCCATGTACCTTAAAACATGAGTTTCTTTGCATTTTTACTGGTTAAGGCTTTATAAGCTACAATATAGTATATACTGTAAAATTAGAGCATATAATTCACATAGAAAGCTTTTCCAACCAGAATCAACCTAGGGGAATACTGGAAGTTTCATCAGGAAGTCAGCAGAAGGTCTTAAACACTTTCCTTGGTTGACTTAAAATAACACTGTTAAATGGAAAACAGTTGTTGGTATTGGTCAAACAGATCTTTTTCAATAAGCAAACCACAGAAATTAATTATAGCTGATTAATGGACATTTTATCACTCTAGCAATGGTCTCTAGCCATTTCTCCTCTGTTGTTTTTACATATTTTTTCTGCTGCTTGCAGAAATCTAACATAAGTCTTCTCAGTGCATTGCTTTAACAGCAAGCAAAATGAAAAGATTTTCTATCACAGAGATTAATTGCTTTAAAAAGAAAAGTTTAAGCCACAGTAATGCCATCTCTAGACATCCATAAATATCCAATACATTAGGGGCCATGATTATTAGGGCCTCAAAAGCAATATTATGAAAGGAAGAGAAACAATTCTACACAGTTAACTTGACCTGCAGTCAATCAAAACAGAATAGAAGAAAAACAAATCAGACAGGCAAGGGAAAAGTTTTTCTTAGCAATATAGACCTAAATATGATACATACGTTGGAAATTTACTGAGAGAGTTTTTAAAAAATTAAGGTGATACCATGTCATGTTGTAAGCATTCAATATCAAATATAAAAATTCCAAGAACATACAGTACATTGTACAATGCTTTAATAAAGAAATTAAATATTATGTTTTCTGGCCAAGGAATTATATTCAATCTATCAAAGGAAATAGAAATATGCCCTAAAGCATAAAAATAATTAACATCTGGAGTAAGGTTATGATCCACTGTGAATAATGGAAATGGTAACAGAAACAAAATAAGACAATGCAAAATCATTATCATAATGCAAACCCACATACAGGTTTTTGGACACAATAGTTGGCTTTACAAATCACATTAGATTGTGATTATATATCTGATGTTTCAGCATGTTGCTGGAAGCCCAAACATTGCGGTTAAAATATTTATATATCTTTTGGTACCAAAATTTTGTCAAGTGTATGAAGATAAGGCAATTTTATTGCGGTATTTAACCAGGTTTATAGCAATAGCACTTAGACTTATATACCGCTTCACAGTGCTTCACAACTCTCTCTAAACGGTTTACAGAGTCAGCATATTTCCCCCAACAATCTGGGTCCTCATTTTACCGACCTCGGAAGAATGGAAGGCTGGGTCAACCTTGAGCCAGTGAGAATCAAACTGCCGAACTGCAGGCAGGCAGCAGGCAACAGAAGTAGCCCGCAGTACTGCATTCTAACCACTGTTCTTTGTTATATTACAGTTATAACAAAGTCAGGTAAAGATCATACCTAATGAGCCAATTATAATCAAATCTCATTGATTAATGTTAATACAAAGATGTGAACAGCAGTGTCAGCTAATAGTTTACAGCAAATGATCTTGTTTGTTAGTGGGAATAATCAAGCAGGTTTATAAGAACTAGCCAAGCAACAAAAAACATTACATTGTAGATCTAATAGATTTGAATAAAAATAAAGATGAATTTGTAATTATGTTATTAGATGCTGAAAACACCTTTGACAAAATAAATAAACAACATGTTTGCTGTGTCAAATATATTTAGATTTCCTATGTAATTCATAAAATGGATTCATAAAATGGATTAAGACATTATATGAATCCCCCATATCTAAAATAAAATAGTGTGTTTTCTTCTATTTTCCCATTATTCAGAGGAACTAGACAAGGATTTCTTACACTTAAAAAATGAATTGAGACAAATCACTTTAATATCATGAATAAAAAAGGAAATTAAAAATGGACAGAGTATAGAAAAAAATAAGGTGAAAACAATTTTTGAGGGGTCTTAGGATGCATGCCAAAATGTTTCTAAGGATAACATTTCAAATAAATAAGAAGCATGACACCCTGCTCCCAAACAAACTTTAGTAAGTTCCAGGGGAACTTTCTATAACTTAAGACTAATTATAGAGCTTCAGATTTCTAATTAAAGGATAAATAACAATTTTAAAATTTTGTTTTCCTAGAGAAGCCTCTAGGAGATATTACATGAATATTCTCTGCCTGTAATTTAAACTAAGCAGATAGGAATGATACCCTCTCCCCAACAGTTTTGTAAGATGAGTTTGCATTGGTTTGAAAGGCAGCAGATAATCTATTTTATGAATGTCAGAACAACACAGAAGACGTTGAATTTATGTGCCTTTAAAATGAGGGTAAAATCTTCAAAGAAGATATGTTATAATCTCCTCAGATTCAGAGTAGAAATGTTATTACAAGGCACTGTAAAATTTCTATTTGGAAACACTTTGGAAATTATAGGATAGCTTTTAGTACAACTGCTGTATATTAAATTGTACAAAGGACAAACAG